GCAGCGATTCTCAAGATCAAATATAACAAATTATCCGACATCGACCTTTGCGCTGGGTTCGGTCCGGTTTACAGCGACAAAATTCATACAAGTCCATCTTAGCTGCACGTCATGGACTTCCTCGTCTCCGTGGTTTGCCTCACCACTGCGCAGCCTTAAGAATACGATGTAGGCAATCTAGCTTTGAGGTAGTTTGGGAAATGTATGCGTAGATTTTGAACTTTATTGGAGCCCATCTACCATTTAACACGACGCGAGGATTGCGATCCTTCAGTCCTCGGACCTTCGTTATTCATCTACCAGAGTGTTTCGACTCAGAGTAGTTATATATTTGCGGTATGTAGGTAGTGATGTCTCTTCGACTCACCCAAATTAGAGGAATGCGGCACTCCTCCACATTAACGACAAATAATTTCAATGCACCTTTTAACTGCATTGAAATTTGCTTTTTCCAGTTCTTTGGAAGGGTTGCTGAATGATGAACATTCAGCTTCCCTTTCATATCTCATTGATATTTAATAAATATGTGAAGTTTGAAAGTGCCGCTGATTGCGGCCCTTTCCGCTGTAAATTCCAGACTAACTAATAGAACAATGTTTCGTGAATCTGATTTGGCTACAGAGTGATACAATTCCCTCTAACATTTCGACCTAGGTCGAAATTTTCCTTTATTTGGTGTGTCAAGGTTTGCCCATGCTGCATTACATCCATGGTTTGCGTTGATTTGCTTCACTAGCGAGCATCCTCGAGATTTAGATTTGGGAAATGTACGCGCAGACTTTGAACTTGGATGATTCAAAAATTAAGTAGTACACTACCATTCAACACGACGCGAGGAACGAGTCACGATCCTTGAAGCCTCGTCCTTTGTCCACCATCCTCTAAATATTCTCCCTAAGGGGCATTCCTCACTGTTGTGCATGAATGTTCTTTGGCAAGTTTCCGCTCCATTCGTGGCACCTGTACGTACCCTCTCCGACGGTGCGGACACAAATCATGTCAACCCATAGCTTCTTCGGCCGCCAAACCATGAGAAAGGGTGAGCACATGCGTGCCACGCAACCCCGGAAGCTTCCCTTCGATATACGAAATGAAGTCTGCGTGGGGCATTGTGCGGGAAGTCAAATACAGATGGCACACAACTTGCCGCAACCGCGGAAGCATAGTGCGGAAGGAATTGAGGACGGGGAGCGGACCGACCCTGTCAGCTACCCACGGGTCCGAGTATGCGCGGTAAAATGATAATTTGACGACTTCGATGGAGGGGACCGCTGTGGGGAAGGTCGCTAGGGCGGAGTAAAGGGTTTGGGGGAGCTGGATGTGGTAGCCCAGGTACACTTTGAGCTCGATGAGCCGCAGTGCGGGGAGATGGGGGAGGTCCAATGGGAGAAGAAAACCTGTATCGGTGCGTCAGCAGGAATAACCGTCCAGAGGGTAATAGCAGACCTCCGCATCGGAGCCGTAGAGAGTGCAGCGTGCTCGCCGTGGAGGACATGAGTCTATAAGACTGAACGGACACGTCCGGACTGAGGCCGACCATCAGCCTCTGGATATTATCGAGAAAATGTGGGGTTCGTGGTCGAAGAATGTAGTCAAGGTCCGGAAGCATATCTTTTGGGTTTGGGTTCCTGATCATGAAATTCTGCGTCCGCGGGGTGAATGCGTGGTTTTCCATTGCGCTTGTATCAGCGGTCATATGGATGGTGATGTTGTCGATTGCGAAGCTTTCAATGGCAGAGAATGCTAAGCAGATGAAGGAGGGCGGGATATCGCGGATGGAGACCAATGAGAGGGAGCGAAGGGTCCGTGATATATCCATCACTGCAGATTGAAGCGAGGCCCCCATTTTGGCCCAGTCAATATGTCTGCCATTGATCGTGAGGCTAAGGAGGTCGGGGAGCATGCGCAAGATCATGGCGAGGACAGGATTTTGCTCGCAAAGATAAAATTCCAGATAGCAGTGTATTTCTCGGACGTACTGCGCAATACGAGGTGAGACCGCTAAGAGGGACTGTGCGTTGGTGATATCCACATAGTGAATGGTCATGGACCAAGAGCAGCCGCTGGCTCGGGAGCAGGAAGGAGGAAGAAACGAGAGAGCATGCGTGGAGCGATGGTAAGTCCAACTCGGCGAATATTGCTTCGAAGAGCTCCTGGGGTAGGTAAGGATCGGTCGTCATGTGATGGCTCGCGCTCCCCGGAGGACGTAAATACGACACAACACGGCGCGTTTGTTCCGATAATTTTCAATTTTCAAACTTGTACCAGTCTGAATTACCGAGTGGTTCCAAACAAGCACCATTTCCACGAAACTCGATCATTCGAAACTCTTCAATCGTTGATTAATATTATCAATTGCGACTCGGGAACACCGGGTGTTCTTCATTTACCTTGGACCTCGGTCTCCTTTCAGTTGTTTCTTGCCTTGAATCCGTCTAACATCGGGGCCAAGCGCCACCTGTTGAAATTTCCTGCTCGCTTGCCAGGGTCGTGTGCTTAATCGTTCGCGTGGGGTTCAAGCCACCGCCATTCTCACCAGCTAACGGCAACGGTGATAAATTCTGTAGTGCGTGATGTGCGGATTGCTCCCGTTTGCTGACAATATCTACCGTGGATCTCACATACATGGCCGCCGTACATTATGGATTCTATAACAGACTATGGCTATGTCTAAAGTTCACTTCTAAAGGAACGCTGATACGTACCCGGCATGTCTTCCCCGCTCCCTCATGACGTGCTGTACCCGGGTAACTAATTGCATACCCAGTTCATCCAGTGGGCTTTATGAATAGCCTGCCTTCTGTGTCGGCATCCTGCCTTGAAGTGCACCCGCTCCTGCACCCGCTGCTCGGCATGTCGTTCCGCCCAATTAGTAATATGGAAGTCTACTATCATTGGACGCGAATGCCCTTCCGTTTGATTGTAGAACGCGGAGTTAATTAGGATGAACACATTTCACCCGGTGCAGGAACAATCACACTCTGGCCACCCGTATAAGAGTCTGGTTGGTTCCCACTGGCCCGCGTGGCGTTCCAATGCCAACCTTCCCCGTGCCGACCTCCGTCGCAAGGGATGCAGACTCGACGCCGCTGTTCGACCTCGCGACCACGATCGGAGCTCTGGAAATATCGGTCCTGGTCGCATTGTTCCTCTCCGGCATCCTCGTTGTGCAAGTGTGGCTATACTTTCAGAAATCGTCCCGCGACCATTGGGGGCTCAAGGTTCTGGTATGTGCGATGGAGTCCGGGGATATTTGCTCTCAATCGGCACTAGGTGGGCGTCACTTGGGCCCTCGACCTTGGTCACACTATAGCATTGTGCCACACGCTGTACACTATAACAGTAATCCAATATGGGCAACCAGAAAAACTCATTATCCCGCCCTTGTCTCTCGACACCGCCATCCTGATGAGCGGATTCATTGGCCCTCTGGAACAAGTCGCGTCTAAGCCTACTCTGTTGATCTTAACCTCATCAAAATTTTCAGGGATGGTTTACATATCGGCTGTACAGACTGAGCAAGCGGCTCACTCTCGCGCTCTTCTGCACCCTCCTCGCAGGCGCGCGATTTGTAGGCATCATACGGTTGAGCGTCATCGCTCTGCATGCCTATCCCCTCCCGGAGTACACCATGCGCGCCGGATGGCTAATTGAGGCCGTCGTCATAGTCAGTGCCACGCTGGACACCGTCCTCGTCACGGCTCTCTGCTTCTATCTGAGTTCGTGGCGGAGAGATCAGTCACCCGGGTGCGTCGCATTTACTGATTCCTTTTCCTGTGCCTCACTGGTGAAGCAGAGTTCAGAAAATCTTGACCCAGATCATGACGTGGTCCGTAGAGACTGGTGCAATGACAATGTCAGTCTTTCCTAAATTCAAAGACCGCAAGTGTTGACCTCCCACAGTATCGGAGCACTCGGACTCCTCATTACGGTAAGACTGTGTCGATGACTCAACTAGAATATGGCTCAATCCCATCAAGTTCCTTACTATGCAAAACAATTGTGCGTCTTTTATCCACGCACACCCACTCGGAGTTCCGATCTCCCTGCAGTTGTCTACATTGGCTTCTTTGTTGTCATTCCCAAACGTGGGTATCACCACTGCGCGAGGTACATGGAACTCATTCTCGCTAGTGTTCACGAACGCACTCCTCCTCTCGTGAGTTGCTTGGCCCTGCCATCCTATTTCAAGCCTTAAATTATAAGAAGGCTGAATGCCCGGGAACGATTCGGGCAGCTCATCCGTGACAACTTACAAGCAGTTAGGGCACCACTGTCTGTAAGTGCATCTTCTTTTCTTCAGAGGTACTTTCGGCAATTCATGGACCCGCGTCAAGCGTCCAACCGTCCAGCTGGTAGGCCATGTCGGAAGCGTCCAATTCCGGACACACCGCTCCGAAGAATGCATTGAAATTGACGACGGCATGTCTATGCACATATCAGGGTTCGGTCAGCGGAAGCCTGATAGTTGTGAAACGGCCACAGAGAGACATGATAAGGATTGACGTATCTCCGGGTTTCCGACTTTATGACAGTTCTACGGTACCAATTGTCTTATTTACGCCGCTCTCTAAGCATCGTGATTTCTAGCAGCAGTTTTTGAGAATGATCGGAGGACTTCGAGGATATCGAATTCCATTGCTCTCTTTCACGCGACGGGACAATACAATATTTTGTAGCTCCAGATACCCAGGGGATCTCCCAACACCAAATCCAGCCTGTAAGTTTATCTTTGTTTTGATCGCGATTTTGAGTGATCGGGGTGGCCGAATTGGGCGTATGCGTAAATCTCGTCGTTCTCCGGCACCACAACGGCGAATATCATGATCCTTTGGACTACCAGATAGCCAGCAGGTCTCCACATCACCTCCTAACCTAACAAAAAAAACACACCGGTTAAATGTCTGATTTTGTCGCAATTGTTTGTGCGGAGAGTTTCTCCTGGTTGAGTCATTTTCCGCGTTTCCCCACTACTCCCTTGATCCTCTGCTCCTTCCACGTCCGAATTGGTGTAGGGGTCAACATTGCCGCTTCTCAAATTTGCTTACCTAAGCATTTATGACTTCGTAATTTGGTCGCGGCAGCCCGGGGTTCGATTCCCCGATTCGGAATCATCGTTTTACCGTTGCGCAAAAAACTTTTTATTTCAATTATGTACCAGTTTACCTGCGGCGAACACGTCCAAGGGTGAAGTCAATCCTTCGCTTTTGCAGCTCCAGAATTGTGCCGGAGGACAATGAATATCCGTCAAGCACAAGACCTTCGAATACACTTTGAAGATAGAGCATGGGGCGGTCTGGGAGCTGGCAGAGCTTTGCTTGTTCGCCATGGCCTGCCCTCCCTGAAATCTGATTGCACGACGTGATGCGTACTCTTACATTTCTGTTTGACCTCTACACCAAGTCGGAAATTACATAATTTCAACCCCCCCAAATTGACCCACATCAGTTCGATCCCTGTCGCGACCCCAGTCACTGCAGGTTTGTGGCTGCGCGGCGTTGACTAGATTAGCTCACGATTGTAGCACTCTGACTCCAGTAGGACCGATCAGAGATACGTCGTGAGTAAATTTACTTCTGATCTAAACACCGCCAAGCACTACGTCGATCTCGAGTCCCACCGGAACTTCCCGACTACAACTCCTGCTTAGAACTGCATCTCCGCCGGGGATACGATAAAAAAAATGAATAAGAGAATATTTGCCATAGGCTGGCTGGGTTGCTGGGAAATTCACTCCGAGAAACTTTGAATTTCAGAGAGCGCAGAGCTGGGTATTATCTGCCAGTGGCTGTACGGTTATCTGCCATACTTACCTGTAGCATTCGCTCCTGGGTATCTAAATTGCTATAAATAATGTCGGAAGTCCTTGAGCATGTATAGAAGACATTTGCTTCTTCAGAATGCTTCATTCTCATATCTATCCTCGACAACCGCTCAATGGCAGATAACTGCGTGACTGGCAGATAATTGGTCACGTCACAGTTATCTGCCCTCGACTTACGCTCATGTCGCCTTGCTCTTTGTACTTCCCCTCTGCTGCTCAAACATCATCTTTATACTGTGTAACAATCTCAGAGATTCTGGTCTCCCTCGGTCAGGCCCTTAGAAATCACCAGAAAATGGAGCTTGATGCACCACAAGCAAATTGCCCTGTACTCAATCCTCAAGGCTCCCAAAAATAGCTGAACGACTGGGCCTTTATGCTCTCTGGCTCCGGAAACCTGGGACAACCTAAATTGGGTGTCCAGCAATTTTCGGATGACCCCGTGTCAAATTTGGTGAGTTCTTGAAAATTTTGTTGCGCGCGAGAACGATTTGACACCACTAGTTCGGCTGATTTTAAGCAGGAACAAAACAATGCAAATGAAGTTCTTTGTGTCCAGATATCCCTCACATTACTCCCGCCCATGAGATGTAAAATAATGTAGCAGGAGCTTCCGTCTGAATTGAAACAAATTTAATATTATCTTTGTCTCCAGCTTGAGGTTCCAGAAGCTCTGCCAGTCTTCGGGCGTCTACCGAATGTTTGCAACAACATTCTCGCCTGAATTCCCCTCTTCTCTCTTCCCTCGTTCCTTTTTTGAATTCTTTTTCGTGTTTGTCCCAGTTGATACCCAGTACAACCAAAACCCTTTCCAAAAACCTTGACACTGTCGAAATTTTGGCGTCGCTCAACTTTTGATGCAAGGCTAAGCATTGCCGAATTGGGTTCGGATCAGCTGGCATTTCGGGATGGGTCGGTGGTTGCTAGGTCAGCCTTCCTCCTTAAAAGTGTTCACTGTGCAGCCCACAGGTTTACATTATGGGACCCGAGACCCCTTCAATTGCTCCGAGCACAAATACCTCGACCAAATTTCAGGTGGGAGGGTCTCGCTCGGCGAAGGCTCGGCTGTCCTCGGCTCCGCTCGGCAGCACCTAAACCGGTAATCCGTAGCATTCCATCAAAAGTTGACACCGGCGAAAAAAATCCTGCAGTGTCAAAGTTTTCGGAAAGAGCTGTAATTTCATTTCGAGCCAGTGAAAGCTCATAGATCCATGCATATCTTCATGTCTGAGGGAATGCGGGACGCGCAGAAATGTGGCCACCTCTGTAAATGTATATGCAGCCGGTGAAAACCTCTCGGACGTTGTGACCAGAGACAATGTAAAAGTGTCAGTGAAATTATACCTGAGATCGCTTCAAGGCTTCAAGGTAAGCAGACGAAGGATAAAATATTTGGAAGTATTCCGGAGAATATACCTGTCGTTGATGAGTCACAGGCTGAATCCTTCCACGAACCGATTTTTCCACCGCAAGGTAGACTCGTGAACCAGTCGACGCTACGCATTGATCTCATGGCACTGAGACCGGACATCAGGCTCAATCGGGAACATCAGACAACAAAGACAACAATCAGACAAAGAGAGACAAGCACGGAAGATCATGCGTAGCGGACTGGGCCCTCTCGGCGCACTTTTGGCTGATGGAAATTTCCCCGCCATTTAAAGGCTCTGACTTGGTGAAAAATGGCCAAAATGACCCCCAGATGCTCTGAAAAAGTGTAAAAACTTCCTATATCAAAGTTGGATAACTTTGAATTCTAAGCCGAATGAGCCAAGGAAGTTTTGAAAACTTACACCAACTCGAGCTCGTCGTCGGCGCACGGACCACTTGGTGGCTTAAAAAAAACTTGTAAAATATGTAGAGCTCATTTGATACAGAATCAAAAACTATCCATCTTTCACATAGGAAGTTAGAGAAGGTTTTTTCAAAGTTTCGAAGCTCTTTCGACGAAGTCGGAGGCTTCAATGGCGGGGGACATTTCCATCAGCCAAAAGTGTTCCGAGAGGGCCCAGCCGGTATTGAGTGTTGCGAGCCTTGGCGAGTGATCGGTTTGTAACTGCTTACTCAATACCGGATGGGGACGAGCCTAACCGCAAGGTTGAACTGTGAAACAGAAAACGTGAACAAAGCTGATGGGATCATTGATTCTAGATCACTTAGGCGTGACGGTGACATCTTGCCCCTTGTCTTCTCCCACCACAATCCACCACAATCCCAACCTCGTGCTTGCTTGCCGTGCGCGCCGGTCGTCTCGGCTTCAGCCGGGTTACACAGCTCCTGTTTTTCCTCCGTTCTTCAATAATCTGTGGCCTCCATCCCAGCCGGCACTCTCACATCGGCCGCTATAATAGAACTGAATGAGCGAGGATGAAACAACACTCATAAGTAATACGCAACTAGGGAGCCTCAATCCTCTTAGGGCTCTTAGCGATCTTCTCACCGCCTAGGTCACGAGCTCTCCCCCTTGAGAAGGGTGACTCCAAATGGTTATCTCTCCTGGAACGGCACATTCATCCCACGGCACTTCCCTGCCTAACATGCCGCATTGCTGACAACCGGGCTCTGTTGTCTCTCGTGGTCGAAACGTTCTACCGTTCTACCGCGGAGCGTAGCGTTGCAAACCAATAAGAGGGTTGGTTTTGTGCGGCCCACGCTAGTATCATTGCCCGAGTCTCCGACTGTTTCCCACCCGGAGTGTGACTTCCGATTGTGAACCCGAACAGCTCATTTCTTTGTGCTCCCAACGCTAGAATTCGAACCACATTTCCCGCCCCTGCTCTTTTGTCCGCGACCCATTTGTCCCTAGATTTCTGCCACGCCAAGTCCCGTTCCGAATTCCAGAAGCCTCCGCCCGCACAGTACGCATCCCAGGATGCTCCCTCTGGCAGCTGCCTCCCACCGTGTCGCTATCACGAGGCACTCGTGCCCTCGCACCATCTCACGGCTCTCAAACTGTATCCTCGGCGCGCCCTGATAAGTGGGGTCGGGGGTCGCGCATCGCGACGCGGTGGGGTTCGTTTCAGTCGCCCGTCGCCAATCCGCGTGGGAGCGTGCCAAGCCCAGCTTCCGTACGATAGGTTCCCAATACGCGATCGGAGACTCGATACCGCTTGCAAGCCGAAGAAGGCTTACACAGACACCTTCGAATTTCCACAAGGATTTTTTATATATGCCCGGTGGGCCCCGACCTCCTTTCTCGCACTCACTCGAGTACCCTGAGACTTCGCCATGGAAAGCACTATGGATTCGACCTACGGCGCCATGTTCATCGGCGGTGAGCGCTTCCACTCGGTGGCTGCTCAATTGGCTCACCCCCATCTAGTGTTATTTGCAACCTTGCAAGTGCCAATCTGTCCCACGAATCACAGTTGACCGAGGTGGTGTAGCTTTCAGGGCGTGCTCACCGTGCAGGCGTACATCTATTATGAGTCATTTCCGGACGACATGTGGCGGCTGAAACTACTGGTGAGTCCGTGGGTAGGCTGCAGATCCAGACAGTATCCTTACTTGCATGCGCCAGGTTGCGGCAGTGTGGCTCCTGGACTTGACGCACTTGGTGCTCATCTGCCAGGCGTGCTACCACTACCTCGTCACGAGCTGGGGCGTCGGCCCCGCACTGCTCGTCTCGACACGCCCGCTCGATCTGCACCTCGTCTTCGTCGGCCTCGCAACACTCCTCTGTCAGGGTTTCTTCGTCCATAGGTGCGTCTGCGATTGATAATATCCGTTAGGAGTGGGTCTGAGAATCATGGTGCCGCGCAGGATCTGGACGTTCAGCAAGCGCAACTGGGCGCTTACGGGCGTGCTGACCGCGGCCTGCATCGCAGCTTTCACGCTTGAGGTTATTATCTCCGCCCAGATCCTCCGCGACTCCAGCGTCGCGTACTTCAGCGAACTTGTCGGCGAGGTCGTCGCGCTTTTCTCCGTCGGTGGCGCAGGTGCGTCCCGTTGAAGCTCCAATTTCAGGTGTTCCGCGGCGTGCTAAAATCCCCGATGCGTGCCAGTTGACGTGGCGATCGCGCTAGTGCTGGTGTTTTATTTACAGCAGGGGACGACGCATTTTGATCGGTGCGTGCCGGTTCGAATTCTATTGCGACGCGACCCAGAATTTGGATGGCATGTAGGACGAGTTTCGTCGTGGCGCGGGTGGTCAATTATACCGTGGCCACCGGGCTCGCCACGAGGTGCTTTTTTATATTCTTTTTTGTGAATCTTTTGACTCACATCGGACGGATAGTATCCTCGCAGTTGCGTGCCTCATCGCGGTGCGTTGCCCACCGCTCATTC